AGAAATACAAACAGATCGACAGAAACAACAGAAGGAGGCTTAAGAAGTAGGACGTACAAGTGGCTCCCTCCATCCACCAATTCTTCGAATATAAGACACATCCGTGAAAGTCAACTTGAGACCCTCATATCTATAATAAGAAGAAAGAGTCTTTTGGCCATGACGTCACGGCGACCCAAATGTGAACCCACAGAGCGGATAGACCACGGATGTGCGTATTAGGTCACGGTCAAGTAATGTTTAAATGGAGAGCCCAAATAAACTTTTACTGACAAATCCACGACAGAAATGTGACGTACGTAAACGTATTCAATAGATTTGTATTTTATTATTTTTACCCTGGATCTTGCATTGTGACTTAATTTTAGTTTACTATAGACCTATAGATTTATATTATATCTTGGATCATACACTGTGCCGTGATTCTGGGACACTGTGGACCCCTTGATTTGTATTATAATAATACCCTGGATCGTGCACTTTGACGTCCGGTACTCTATGGGCCCTTACATCTGTATAGTATGACGCGGTGAAATCAGGCGTTCGTCAATTTTTGTGCATTTTAAATTATTGGTATCATCTTAAAGCTTGTTTATTTATCTTGCTTTTGATGAAAAAAATACTCATCTATCTTAAGCAGAAGTCAAGATATTTGTGATTCAAAGTGGTCAGTTCACTTGGTTTCAGCGGTAAAAATAGGGAAACAATGGTCGCCAAAGTTTGGTACTTCAATAACTAAAGAGTCCTTGAAAACTTAAAATTTGCATATTTTGAGCTTATAATCAACGTTTTTTTAATATGATTCACTTGGAAATGTGTTATTATTTGGATATTAAAGGGTTGAACTAAAAATCCAAATATTTTATTAAAAATGCGAAACTTTTTCTCCAATTTTGTTATCTTGACGAGCGCCGGATTTCACCACGATGTCCCACTTATATCCTTGATCGAGCACAACGACGTAATTTATTCTTGTTTACACTGGAGTGCACAATTCAACTCAATTTAGAGCCAAATGAAGGGAAAGGTGGAAAGGTGGAAAGGCAGAGGGCACCCTCGGCTATTACGAGACTAGTGTTTTACCCTTTATTTGAAGTCTTTATCTGAGAGCCCATCTAGGAAAAACTTCACAACCAAATTTTAAAGTTTGCAAAAATACCATGACAGCGTATGGGTTATGATTTTGTGAGGCATTGTGATGAGATCAAGCTCCCGATGAGCATTTTTCGAATCGTTGCATCCTGTTATACCAGTTACATTTCTGTGTGGACTTTTACTGAAAAACGTTGATCAAAGGCACAACAGTCGTAAATCTGCAGTTTCTAAGGACTCTCAAGCTTTGGAAGTAGCCAAACGTTGGCGACCATTTCCTTGCTAATTGTTATTCTAAGTCCAGTTGACCTCCACCTCCTTTAGTTGCAAAAACTCGACTTTTATTCAATATAGAAGGGTAATTCCTTAATCATAAAAAACAAGATATATGAAATAATTTTGAAGTTGTATCATTAACCATAATATTAAGCTCCAGAATTGACGAGCACCCGATTCCGCCGCTCCGAAACACATACGTGTATTGCAATAGAGAGCAAAGACATGACAGTCTAATGTCTAGGATATTATAAGTCTATGATAAATCTACAAGCGTGTATGTACCTCTCCCACACAATATATTCCCATGTCCGTCCGGATTGGACAAGGGCGAGACACAGCAAACAGTCGGAGTTTCTCAATGACTTGAAAGAAAGAAACCAGACACGGAACGCGTCGTAGGAATTAATCGTCATATTTACTTTAAAATTCACAAACACACTCTTTATGGGTCAATTTTGATCTTTCAAAATATGAAAAAAAGAAAAATAATTGTATTTTTACTTTATAGCCTACTTTTTGTCAATTATGTTCGGGCATGCCTCCTAGACCTCATAGAAATGCAAACCACTGCATGGTCGCGTGGTCAGCGATTGAAACGCCGCGCAACACAGCTTAGGTGCTAATCGATAGAGTCCGGGCAACGCTATTCGAGGCGCTAAATTATGGCTCATTTGTCTAGCTTTCTCACACATTATCTTTCTAGTGGCGTGTTAGCCAAGTGGTAAGGGCACCGGGCCCAAACACGTGAGATTGCAGGCTCGGGGGTGTAAGTCTTAGCTCAATCCGACGCTGTGTCTTTGAGAAAAGCACACTACACCAATTTCCCATTTGGCTCGATCATTTCGAAGATGGACATTAAACTCAGAGGTCCCGCCTCTTAAATAATCTAATAGGGTTTATAGAGGCGTTAACAACCTATACCCTTTCACAATTTTCACCATCTCCCAATGTCTGTCTAGGTTGGGCAAGGGAGAGACACAGAGCAAGAAGTCCGAATTTCTCAAGGATTTGGAAGAAAGAAGTCGCACAACGCAGCACACGACTTACGACACCAAGGTGGGATACTTTAGGGGTTACATAGTCTTTCAATATGCTCATTATGTTTTCTTCCCTCTTTGTTAGTTAATGATTTATTTTTTTATTTCATTATATTGTTTTGTGTATTTTTTTTGTTTCGTTTTGTTTGTTTGTTTGTTTCGGGGGTTTTTCGGGGGGGGGGGT